TTACTCTCTTTTTTTTTATGGAAGAAAATCGGTGCTGCGAAACTTGTATATAATAACCAGGTATACCGGTACGTGTTGTCTGAGTATATAATAACCAGGTATACCGGTACGTGTTGTCTGAGTATATAATAACCAGGTATACCGGTACGTGTTGTCTGAGTTTGTACTAAATTATTTTCACTGTAAGTCACATGTACTGAGGAAACCTGCAGCTCAAGGTTTGTCTTACCGGTACCCGGTGGAGTAAATGAAGGAATCTAAAACTGTTGGGCTGACATCATTGGTCTTGTGTGAGTTCTACCTGCCCAACTGGTTATACGTTTGCGGTCGCCAGATCTATGCTTCCCAAACTGCAGGGGCCCTACCTGCTGATTAGACATTCTAGTTGTCGACAGAGTGTGTGTTGTTACCGCACATTTTTGACCCTGGATACATTGCTCTGTTTATCGTCAACCCATGTAGCACCGAAAGTGGAAGATGTACATGGAACTGGACGGTCCAGAGGAAGCGTTGATGTGTATCAAGGTATGCGGAGACGAGTCTAGCCTCTCTGAGTATTGCATGTACAATCGGGGCTCTTCAATTCGGCGGTGGCATCTGTTTGCAGATATCTGCCGGAACACGGAGGGTGTATCTACACGTGGTGATATACATGCACCAGTATGCACATCAAACTGGGGTCCTACCCCCAGTTTTTGCCACGCTTGTATACGAGCTGTTTTGAAAGTGTGTTCTGATCATTCAGATTGCCCTTATATCCACTTACCGTATTTTGCAAGATTATTTCATTGGTGTGGAATGTGGTTGCAAGCAAACATTGTTCCAGTTGCCTATTTCCTGTGCTGTCAATAACGTGCGTCTTCATCCTTGTCATGTCATGTGGCTTCTTCTCTCTGTTCACTTTTTCGCAGTGTGTTCACTTCAAGTTTGCCCAGGACACCGTTTCGATCAGACAGGTACTGGCTGGAAGATGACAACGTGCAACACTGCCACGTGTTCTTGTGTTCTGGTGTTGATGTGTGCATTGGCGTGTCCCACCATGCGTGATGGTCGATTGTGACTGTGGCTGAAAGTTTCTCCTTGTCCTTGTGCAAGGCGGGAGCTTGACAACAACTGACTTCATACCTGTGTACCTGTGCGTCCAGCCAGGAAATAGTCAAGTTTACATCCTACTTCCAGTGCTTCTAATGGCAGACTAGGGATGTTGACTGTGTCTGCGCAGACAAAGCTTGAACGCTGACATGATATGCTGCAACCAGTACCTCGCAGTGAGGAGGCCACCAGAGTTCAACTCCTGGTGAAGCCAGCGCACTAGCTAACTGTGCTGTGTGCTATTGTGTTCTTCTCACTGCTATGTCTTATCCTAGCCACCGTTCCTGATGGATAAATGGCTACTAGTGGAGAATGATGAAGAACAGGTGGAGTGCGTCGTGGAGTTCACTGTAAGTGTCAACCCTGCCATGTGGCCAGCAGGTATTCTTAACGATTTTGCTGGCTATTACACTGTAAACAAACAGGCGTTTATTCTAGTGCATCTTAATGTATAAGCACATCATCTTGTTCGTGATACTAGTGCACTGCAAGAAGGCGGCATGCCTCGTTGGGTCCGTCTTACTTCTTCAGCGTGTTGGTATTCGTATGTGTTGTGCAGTCAAGCGTCAAGACGCCACGGCGCATTACTCAAGTTCACAAACTGGACTTCTCGGATGGCTCTGACTGCGTGAACGTGCAGGAGCGCCCGGTGGAGCTGACAATGAAACAGAGTATGTCACGCGTGTCCCTGACAGCCAGGCAGGAGTCCGCATCCAGCACCAGCTCCGGTGAGCATCTCACTGCGTGTGCATGTGTGTGTGTGTGTGTGTGTGTGTGTGTGTGTGTGTGTGTGTGTGTGTGTGTGTGTGTGTGTGTGTGTGTGTGTATGGTATGGTATTCTTTATTTTACTTCACCAAGTGAACAAGCAATGATGCCTTCTCACCAGCTGACGGTTGGCTCTCACAGAATGATGAATGGGAAGGAGGGAGAGGGAAGGAGTAGTATGCTTGCACCAGCAATGCTGTGACTGCTGTCTGTATTTTCTCTCTGTTGTTTGACATGCTATTATTAACACGGTTTTAATATTGTTCTTAATTATGGAGGTTATGCAAAGAAAGTCCTAAGGATTAGTCTGCCGAATTCCGGAGCCGCTTTTAAGTTATGGGCTCTAAATAGTGAAACCGCTTATAGGCGCTATATATACAGAGGAAGTCTCTCATGTGTCACTGTGCTGCGGCTTTGCCAAAGTATCTCAACTGATGATGCAATCACGTAGCCTTTATATTGTGCTGCCTTGCCTGATTCTCTTCTTGTTTTGCGTGTTTGCTATGTGTGCGCCGTATCGCCGAATATTTAGGTGGTAGTTTGGCCGGTGAGCAGCATGGTGTGAATCCGCTCTTTGAAAACCTCTCACTGTCTGGTGGCGCTCCAGCATGGCCAGCTGCTGGTGCTGCTGCTGCGTCCTCGGCACCCAACAGTAGGAGATCTTCTTGGCTGGACTCTTCCAATGCTGCGTGTTCGTCAGGGTACGTCACATGACATGTGCACACACACACCTCAGACCTCAGACATGCCCATCGCAGAAGCGATGATAGCGAACAGCTATGTTAGACATAGCAACTTGTGCTGGGATTACACCATTCAACAGCTTGCAAGGCTGATGAATTGACCGCCACTAATTTTAGCCTGGTATCCACCACACAGCTGATTGAGGTGGCTTTTTCTGGCCAGTGAATCCCTATTTTTCATTTTTCACACACACACACACACACCACTGTAGTATTGCCTGTATGACTAATGGCTAGCTTAAAATATCATCATTTTTACACAGTACCAACTTACTACTAAGGTGGTTTGCACTGCTCAAGTCATGCTGATTACCTGGGACAGAGATCTCTACCACAGCACTAGTCACAACGACTGCCACGAACCATCCTGACTTCGCTGTACAGTGCTGCTCAATGAAATCCAGTCGAGTCAATCAAGTACATGCCGGGCGTTGTGCAGCCCTAGAGCTGCGAACACTGGGCTGCGAAATGATGCAAGGCGCAAACTTGAGTGACGTGACGTGACTGACTGGATTTCATTGAGCAGGACTGTGTACATGTAGGTAGCATCGTTCAGTTGCAATACCAAGTTTACTTGCACTTGAGCAGGTGTGTAATAAGGACCTGGCGTAGCCAGTTAGCATGCATACACACGTGATGTACTGCTGGTGAAGGCATTATGATGATTTGTGCACTTCGGTAGCAGCCCGGCCACTTTGATACAGTACATGTATTGACCTGAGTTCGTTTTTGCTCTGTGTAATTCTATTGCTGCTATCCTCTGCTTTGTTATTCACTTGTACTGTCCACACGCCTGTCCACACACCTGTCCACACGCCTGTAGGGCTCCAAGCAGTAGCGCCTGGTTCCGGCCGGACAAGCGACTCAGCTGGCCAAGTAAAGGTGAGGTCAAGAATGTTGTGGCAAGCGGGCCCACCATTTCCTCTGCCCAATCGCCCTCACAGACACCCAGCAGCCCGCGCACACCGACGGATAGAAGCCCACAGCTCCGACCAAGTCGACCATCACCCGCTCGACAGGAAAGATCACCCGCCCGTCAGCAACGCGGTGGTCCTGCCTATAACAGTGGTAGTTATGGCCGTGGTGGTGGTCGTGGCTATGGTCGTGATGGTGGCAACTTTAGGGGTGGTGGTGGTGGCGGTGGTGGCAGTGGCCGTGGTGGTCGAGGTACCAGTGGAGGTGATTACCGCGGAGCTTGGTATCGGTCATCTCGCGGTGGTGCACCCCGCTACGGCGAGTCACAAAGCATACCCGACGGTCGATCTCAGCATCATGCCGACAACCATCAACCGTATAGACGCTCTGTTAGCGACACAGAGCGATTGAACCGACAGCGTGCGCCAGCTGACGATAGCGCCGCATCGAGGCGAGGCCATGCTCACAGTCAAAGGCAGCGGCAGCAGCAGCAACAGCGCAATCCTCATGGGTAGAGGGCTGGTTGACACTGATGATGAGTTAAGCTTCTCCCCGGGATGGCAGGTGGAATTGGCTAGCAGCAAGAGCAGTCTTGTTGCTGCAACTGCTGCAGGAAACACACACACTCTAGGCCGAGTACCACGAGAGTCTCATTGATGACTGGCCTTGCCTGGAGGGTGGCAGTGAAAAAGCTATCAACACAAAAACGGTCAAACATGGAGCCCAAATAGCCATGGTACAACTACTTTGGAGGTTGTCACTTACACGGCTGAGCATTGGCGATCCAATAGTCTGCGTGTGTGCCCATGGGCTCACTCTTCTGCTCTGAGTCTCAGGGCAGTCGTCCCCTTGCTGCCAGCTGCCAGTTGGTTTGTTCTTGTTTGCTTTGGAGCAGGCTGTGATCATCTCATACGACGTGTAGCAGAACAGCGAATCTCTGGACTTCTGCCACAATATTGTTGGTATTTAGTCCACGTACTCGACTTGTTTCTCAGGAGTACCTGTCATCCCCGACATTGTACTAAAGCCGTGACTCATGGAATATCTACTGGTCTGCGATCAGGCCCGCCTGTACTACATGCACTCTGTGTATGCAGAGAGGACAGGGACAGCACCAGCCCATAACACATGATGGCAAAGCCGCTTAGCCAGCCAATGAACAAGCTTATCAAGGAAATACTCCCAGTGTGAACACACTGCTCGCTCCCCCATCTGCCCCCCCCCCCCCCCAAAAAAAAATCCTTTAGTACCGGTCTTATCATTATAGTTATTTTCTTTTCTCTTTTCTTTTTTTTTGCTGTAGTGGAATAATACATCACAGCAAGCTAGCACAGAACCATAGCACCCTATAGCACCCAATAGCACAATATCCTAATAGTTGTAGACGCCAGTGCCATCCATGCACTGCCTGTAGAGACCGTAATGTCCTGTACGTGTCAGACTGGCCTGGCTAGCCTGGCCGGACCTGGCTGCACAGTTATTAAGGTGGGTGCCGGCAGTGGGCTGTGACTTGCCAGTTCCTCCCCTGTTTGTCCACTGTACGCGGAGTACTAGTGGTACTGCTGTCCCCCCCCCCCTCCCCCCATGCCCCGTTTTGTCCACTGTGCACACCGCACTAGGGGCATTGTTCCCTTTTGTCCACTGACTCAGTGCATATGGTACTACATGTTTGTAGTGGCACTGTCCCCGCTTGTCCACCGTACCGTGTGCACAGTACTAGAGGCACTGTCGCCCCCTGTGTTTGTCCACTGTGCAGACAGTAACAGCTACTACTACCACAGTGTACTGTGGTAGTGCAACTAGAACTAGCAACGTCGTCATGTCTACTAACTTATGCGGGCACATTATCTCTTCATTAGAACTTAGCGTTTACAGGTAGTAGTAGTAGGATTCACTCCTCTTTTTTTCTTGCAGGGCACAGGACCATCCACTCTACAGTCGGTGTGTAGCTCATTGTATGCTTTTACTAGCCTTTTAGTGTTCTTTGTATACCGGGAGTAGTCAGTCCTACTCAGTCGCGTCCTGTTCATTCTGGTCCTGTTCATTCTCATTCTGATTCTACTGGCTGGTCCATGGTGAAGCTGCTGTGCTTGTTCGACTGCTATACTCAGTCATCAAGGATAGGGGTCGAGTAGTACCCAAATGACTCTATTCCCCCTCTATCTCCATTTTTCCTTGGCATGGTAATCTATCCTTTTTTCTTTATTTTTTTACCCTGGCAGACTGTAAATTTGCCATGCTATTTTAATTCCACTATGAAAGGCAACAATCCCACATCCCTCCCATCGTTTCCCCTGTCATCTTGTGAGATGTTCTCATTGATAGTACATGTAGCAAACTTCCAAGTACGTCCTTGGTTGTCTGCTCGTACGACATGAGCCAACAATGATTGCCATTATATCATAGACCATCACTGTCAGTGTAACTGTTAGATACTCAACTCCCTTGACTCTGTGTAGACCAGGTGTGCATCGGGGGTCTGTTCGCTTGGCTTCGGAGCTTCGCCATGTGGATTGAGCAGTTATCTTGGCGCAAGCCTTCATCCGTTTCATTCAGATTTTGTCCGCTGCATGTTTTATATTTTTAAATAATATTATTACTGAAGTACCGGTATAATTATTGTTGCTATGAGAGAAAATCGGAGAGTGTACATCCATCTGGTGCAGATGTGCATGCTTGTCTTGCCACCTGTGTGCGTGGTGGAACGTGGTGAGCAAGGTACTACGGCCAGCATGCAGCGCCGTACTAAGATACTAAAGCCAATACAGGTCGTTGGAGCTGATTGCTATTTCTGCTCATTCCCACGCTTCACATGGACATGGTGCACCTCCATTGCGCACCCCCGGGCCCCCTCCCCTCCACTGCTACACAAGGACGAGGTAACCATGGTAACCTCCGGCTTTGCCTGATGACAACAGACAAGGTTGAATCCAGGGGTAGGTTTACCCCTTCCCAAACTTGCAAGCTATGATGACTAGAAAGTAGAATGGAAAAAGCCAGATGCATTTTGGTTCGGAGAACAGAGCTGCGGCACTTTGTGGTTCAAGCCAGGGCATGCAGCTTCAACTTTTCAAGCCCTGCTCCTATCGCCTTTGCTGCGAAACATACGCTGCTTATTTTAGCGTGCATTAGTGTGACTGTAGCTGTCCATACATGTAAACGCGACGGATTGCACTATCGACCATCGTGATGTCAAATTGTTAGTATGAACCAGGGACAACTCCCTGGTATGAACTATGAAGAGTGATTCTGACCCACCCGGAACACTTCCACCTTTCTGGGTGAACCCTCCCCTCCCATTATATTGGGGCACCCTCGAGCCTCGTGGCCTCGTCTGCCGCCTGCCGGTACTCGTACATGTACTTCGTGTCAGGCATGAGTCATGACTGTATACGTAGTCGAGTGGAATCTAAATAATTCTAATGACTACATGTGTACTTCAACTTCAAGTACATTTTCCATCGAGACTGGGGTCCGATCGCCCTCGGACACGCTTTTATTATTTAATTTTTGGCACACATCCATCGTCATGCAAGTCGGTCAGTAATCAGGTAATCCTGAGACTGTGTGGTGAGAGTAGCTACGTAGGTCTTCAGGTCCTACTCGCATATCCGTGCACTTCTCACAAGGGAGACGTGATTCATAGGCTGACAACTAAATTAAAATAGGAATGCCATTCAGCCATTTGCAGACTGCGGTCCAGTTGCTGGCATTTCTTTGTGCGACGAGTTTCTTTCATCACTGCTCTTTCACGAGAAACGACAAAGATAGGAACTACTTGTCAGCTTATTTCAGCGGTGCTTCGCGTGCGTTTTTCAGGGAGGACCCAAAGATAGCTTCTGCATTTTGGAAGTAATTTAGTTATTCGTAAATGTGCGCACTGATTTGCCTCTGGGGCGATGAAGTTTCCAAGGGGAGAAGCTGTCCAGCAATGCTCCACTGCCGGTCCTGTCCGGTAGTCTCGTGCCTACTCAGTGTCATTTC